TAATTTACATATAAGGGATGGTTTCATTCCTTTAAACCATTTTTTAGCACAACTGATAATTTCTAAATTCATCTATTTATGTGACCTCAAAGTGTACCAAGTTTCATTAAAATCAGAATTTAACACTTTGCGAAGTTCCCTTGTAAGTTAAAATTACTTAACTTTTTAACTTAACTTTTATCTTTTTAACTAGCACTACCCAATATTACAGCAACATTGTAGTTATAATCTGTGTTTGCTGGGAACATATGTTTGTAACATAATTATAACATTGATTTATACAGAATGTAATCAATTTGTTTTGAACTTTTGTGAATCAAATTCTCGAAGTTTCAATTCTGTTAAGAATTAAAACAATCTACATACAAAAATGCTTTACTATCTTTCTTGGACAAGACAAATTTATTCATGTATTACCTGAGTGTCCTCAAAACGAGTATTATCTCTTCTACGTTTGCGCATTTCCGTCTCCTGATCGTGCTCTCTGTCCCTAATGTCGCGCAATTCTTTCACGACCTTCTCATATTCATTGGGCCATATAGGATCGTATTCGTTCACTACATTCCAATCAAATTCACCACCTACTCCTATGCTACTCACGCTGCCGCTGGATAACGGATTGTTGTGAGCGTTATCGTCCTCCCTCTCGACATCGCGATTAGCTTTTGATTTCAAATCTATCACTGGTGCCAGTACCGCAGTAGCTTTCCTATATTGCTCACGTTTTGGCTGTAAATTCGTAAACAATTAAAAGCATAATTAAAAAAAAGCTTGTTTTAATTATTTTAAAATCAATATTTAAAATATAAAAATTATGTTGAAAATTATTTATGTAAATAATCATTTGACAAGTATTGTTTATATATGACAGATTTACTTGTGTTGTTGCAGCTTTTTTCAGCTGCAATTGCGATTGCAGTAACTTAATGCCGGAAGACCATCCCGCCACCTTTTCGGTGGTCCGATGTTTGTCAAAATCATCGTATAAAGACATGATAAATCCTATTTTTTAACATTTAACTGACATTTTAAACATAACCTCACCCTTTAAGGGTCGGCTCGTAGATTCAATAAACTCATGCAGATGGTATACTACACTTTAGGGTGCGTTCCCACTGAGCGCGTCACGCGTCGCGTTATCCGAATTGACCAATCAAACCATCCCATTTTATTATGTAATTTGCCGCGCGATCCTGGATCAGAGAGAATCCTGAAGCCCGTATCAGACTAAAGATTGAGATTGAGATTGTAATGGAATTTGACCAATTAAAACAAAGTTCACTAAATTTGAGATTGATTTTCTTTCTTCTAATTGGTTAAATCCCAATTCAATCTCAATCTCAATCTTTAGTCTGATACGGGCTTGAGAGCGGTCATGCCCGTGATTTAGCTGCGA